GCTTGTCCTTCCTGTGCTCCTTTGAGCATTCCATTCTTCCATCCTGGGGTTAATCCACGAGGTGTCCCTTCTTTTGGACGATTAAAGTATGTTCATCATACCATTGATACCTTTTCTCATTTCTGTTATTACTCATCTCTTAGCTTGTTTCGCCATCATGGGCATTCCTCTTATACTTAATGTCTCTCGTAAATTACAAGTTTTCTTACAGCAATACACTATTCAACATATCATTGGTATCCCGGGCAACAGTCAAGGTCAAGCCATCACTGAGCACGCAAATTTAACTTTAAAAACTCAACTATTAAAACAAAACAAAAAGGGGGGAAATGCAGGGGCCTTTGAAAACAGTATGCTGAGAATAGATAGGGCTCAAGGACAGTATCTCCAATTGAACTTTTAATGAACACCCGTAGGCGCCAAGAAGGCGGGCAGATAAGGAAGAGCATAGAAACAAAGAACTGAGTAGAAGGTTACATCTGGGAAAAGAAAGTTTGTTTTGCATTGCATTCTTTCTGCTGACGTGGGGTTTATGGAGTATAAATAAAGTGAGGCGGAGGCTCTGAGCGTGGCCGCCATGTACTCTGTGTGTCTTGTCTTTTGTGTGTTCTTTCATTCTCCACCACCCCCGGCACGGACCCCAACACAAGAGGAAGAAGTAATAATGCTGGGCCCTTTATCTAAATCCTGAGACTTATTGAACACTTAGTATCAACTTCCAATGTGTTATGCCCAGCAGTGCTCTGTATTATACTCTTGAGCACATAGTACCTGCTTAATAATTATGTATTACTACATATGTACATGTTGTTTTCCAAATGCAGACTTATTCCAACATTGCTGCCTTCTGTTTCCTCTGTAAACTTTAAAGAGCCAGCAAATAATATAAAACTTCAAGATGAAGTGTAGTTGTCTTCATTTGTACCAGAAGTATTTGTGTTGTGACAAGAGTGCTGAGTGTAAGGAACTCTGTGCTGTGCCCACTTTCTCTAACTAATGCTAATGATGAGCCCGAGGGAGCAACATCAGCATTGACAGGGGACTTGTTTGAAACACCCATCCATGGACCCTTTCCAAACCGGCAAAATCACATTATGTAGAGTGGGACCAACATTACCAAGTGATTTTTAAGTTCATTAAAGCTTGAGAGGCAATGCTTAGCTTAGTGGTTATCAGCCTAGGCTTCTCATTAGTATCACATGGCCAACTGGCAGAAACCTCTTGTTTCCTCCCCACAGCTCCTGTTTATTGTTGTGGGTGGAAGCATCCATGTTGTTTAAATGAAGGGCCTCATGTGACTCTAACGTGAGGCCAGAATCAAGTATGAGGGCTTCAAGATACATTCATGAGAGTTAAGTGCCACCTTTGCACTAAAGGGTGGTTACAGGACCTGTTCTGTTTGGGTTTGGTAGGGACAGGACAGTGTGGCCCATATTTTCATTACTGTAGCAGAAATTGCTGGTGTTTGTGGCAGGGGAGGGCACCTGAGGACAGGAAAGGAGAAACATATTTTTACATCCATGGAGCAGCACGTTGTTCTTGAATCTCTTCTGTTATAAAGGAAAGAAATAGGGTGGACTTTTTGGTCTTGGTCCTTCTGTCTGTGGGTCTGATGCTAGCAGGTAAGAAGATGGTGCTGACGTGTTTAAGGCAGTTTTCTCAAGAAAAGTGTTAACTTGTTTAGAGAATTTCATCTGAAAAGGATTCCAAGAGAAGGAGGAGAAAGAGGAATTTTTTTTTTTTTTTTTTTTTCCAGCTAAACATGTCTCAGATCAAGAGGTTTGTCCCTTCTTTCTTCTGGAGTCTCACGCATTTAGTATTTGCAAACCTTTACTTCTCTACTTGTGTTTTTCCTTACTAATGAGTTTAACTACTTTTTAAAATTCTAATGGTAGTCAAAGGTCTATGCAGAATATTTATTTCCTGTGTACTAGAGCCTTCTCTACATTCTCAATATCATGGCTTCTTATATGCCATGCAGAATTCCTGCCATGAATTTATGATCCACTATTAAAAATGTTCCCATTATGGCTGTTGAACACGGAAGGATGTGGATACTCAAGATTCCTATTGGGAAAAGCTGGGGTTTACATGGAGGATATGTAATGTTGAGGTTCCATCAGTGTTCTCCATTAGCTCTATGCAGAATAGGATTAAGAAAATACTTATTTAAATAAGGTGGCGTTTATTACCCAGAAAGTTCAGGAAAAAATACTGAGAGATACCTGCTCTGTAGGGTGCTAAAGAAAGACTACTTAAAATCATTATTGGAGCCGGGCGCGGTGGCTCATGCCTGTAATCCCAGCACTTTGGAAGGCCGAGTCGGGCGGGGCGGATCACGAGGTCAGGAGATCGAGACCATCCTGGCTAACGCGGCGAAACCCCATCTCTACTAAAAATACAAAAAATCAGCCGGGTGTTGTGGCGGGTGCCTGTAGTCCCAGCTACTCCGGACGCTGAGGCAGGAGAATGGTGTGAACCCAGGAGGCGGAGCTTGCAGTGAGCCGAGATCGTGCCACTGCACTCCAGCTTGGGGGACAGAGTGAGACTGTGTCTCAAAAAAATAATAATAAATAAATAAATAAAATCATTATTGAAAATTACAGAACATTGGAGATACCTGTATCTTGAACTTTACATAAAACTGATGTTTCTGTATGATTGAATTCAGACTATAATTTACTTTTTGAGGGGCAATATCTAGGCGATGATGCTGTGTTCTTCTATGTGCATCAGCACACCATAAAAGTTTGCCCTAATGTGGTTAATATTAATAATTTACTTGGTTAAAAAGCGCTCTGATGTTTCTTTCACTACAGAGTTAACTATTTTTCTTGTCATTATTAGGTATCTTTATGCAGATAATGTGCATAAGCCATTACATTTAATGTGGCAGGTGCCCTTTTTTCTTAGGTTTTCTTTGCATGTATCTGTCTTCGGAAAATGAAGTCTCTTTGTTTACAGGCCAGAAAAATCAGGCAAAACACAGGCTCTTCCAGCTACTGGATGTTTCACAGAATTTTCTTTTGGGGCTAAAAACATTGGCATTACTAGTGAGCTCACTAGAAATTCAGAAACTCAGACTTCATTCCAGATCTTCTGAGAAAAAGTCTGCACAAGATTTCCAGTTTATTGTACACATTAAAATTCAAGAGGTGCCTTCTAACTCAACATCTCTTTTTTGTCTGAAAAATATACACAGCTCATTCTTTATGATGTAAATATTGCACTAAAAAATGTATATGTTTGTGTTTATGCTCTTAATTTTATACTTTATTATCTAAAAAGTATCATATATACACTGGTGTTGTGGATCTTATGCCATTCTCTTCTCTCAGAGTTAGAGGATATTTTAGAGAATATTTCTGGGTTAAAAATTACTGCAAATTTTCAGTTATTTCTATTAATCAGAACCAATTCTCTTTACTCTGTTGTTTCATTATAATTAAAATGATAATTTCTGCTCATGGCCACTTGCTAAATATATGTGTGTCTGTGTGCTTGTGTTTTTCAGGGGCCATTGACATTTAGGGATGTGGCCATAGAATTCTCTCTGGAGGAGTGGCAATGCCTGGACACTGCTCAGCAGGGTTTGTATAGGAAAGTGATGTTAGAGAACTACAGAAACCTGGTCTTCTTGGGTAAGAATACCTTTAATACACAATTTCTAATATACCCTAAAGATTTCCTTTCTCTTTTTTTGTGGAATGATTTTTGGTAATTTATGCTTTGCATAAATGAGTTTCTGATCCGTTTTTTCAAGAAAATCTTGAGACTTTGTCTGTGTGGAAAAGAATGTCTTCAAGATGTTTCATCTTGACCTGAACTTCCCACATTCCAAAGCTGATCTGTATCCTTCACTCTAGATCAGTGGTAATTCCAGAAATTTAGTGGCATAAAATATTGTTGCCCATGATTTTAGGCCGGACATGGTGGCTCACTCCTGTAATCTCAGCACTTTGGGAGGCTGAGGCAGGTGGGTCACGAGGTCAGGAGTTTGAGACCAGCCTGGCCAACAAAGTGAAAATACAAAAATTAGCCAGGCATGGTGGCACGTGCCTGTAGTCCCAGCTACTCAGGAAGCTGAGGCAGGAGAATTGCTTGAACCCAGGAGAGCGGGGGTTGTAGTGAGCCAAGATCATGCCACTGCACTCCAGCCTTGGCAACAGAGCGAGACTCCATCTCAAAAATAAATGTGTATGTATATTTGTCCATATTTTAAAATCTATTCGTCACCACCAATTTTTTGATTCATGAGTACTGGATAGTGAAATTAAGGACCTACAAGTTTTAAAGATTTTCTAAATATTTAGAAATTTCTCTCATTAATTAGTATTTTGGGATTATTCTAGAATATTCTATCACCATCTCTTTACTAAGCATACGACTAGGATGCTAATTGGAGAATATGAAAAAGATTCATGTTATTTATTTCTAATAAAGCAGGTATTGCTGTCACTAAGCCAGACCTGATCACCTGTCTGGAGCAAGGAAAGGAGCCCTGGAATATAAAGAGACATGAGATGGTAGCCAAACCCTCAGGTAGGTGAGAGTGAACACAACAGATGACACAGATGAGAGGTCCAAAGGTCAAAGAGAAAACTGGTCATTAAAATGTGATTTGGGAAGCTGTTCCAAAGGAAATAGTTTCTGGGACGCCTGAGTGTTTTTGTTTTTTGGGTTTTTAAAATTTTTTATTTACTTTATTTTTTATTTTCATTTTTATTTTTTTTTGCTGTCGTGTAGGGGCATCTTCTGTCTTATGCTTTTTAAATTCTTTAAATATTCTACTTTCCTTTTGGTGATCTTCCTTCAAGTTTACAGTGAAAGCCAGAGTCCTTTTAATGGTGTATAAAAGACTGTACAATCTGCCTGCTTTGCCATTATTTTGGGGTACATACAGATATCTGCATGATTTTGGGAAACTCTATGTTAAACTATTTTTTAGTTCTCTTTTTTCATCCTGTCTGAAATGTGTGAAAGTAGTGATTTCTGTTCCATTGATTTGTTTGTTAATCTTTCTGCACATTCCGTCCTGTTTTTACTACTATATTCTTGAAATACAGTTAGAAATTATAAAGTATAATACCCCTCTGCTTTGTTCTTTTGCCTCAAGATTGCTTTGGCTTTTCGAAGCTTATTGTAGTTTCTTGTAAATTTTAGAATTGTATTTTTTATTACTGTGAAAAAAATGTCACTGGAATTTTAATAGGAAGTTTATTGAAGCTATAGACTAGATAATATGACACTTTAACAATATTTATTCTTTCAATCCATGGACATGAAGTATTTTAAAATTTGTGTCTTCTATAATTTATTTCATTGGTATCTTACATCTTTTTTGTTTTGTTTTGTTTTTTGAGAAGGAGTCTCGCTCTTTTGCCAGGTTGGAGTGCAGTGGCGTGATCTTGACTCACTGCAACTTCCGCCTCCTGGGTTCAAGCAATCTTCCTGCCTCAGACTCCTGCATAGCTGGGACTACAGGCGCATGCCACCACACCCAGCTAATTTTTTGTATTTTTGGTAGAGACAGGGTTTCACCATGTTGGTCAGATTGTATGGATCTCTTGACCTCGTGATCTGCCTGCCTCGGCCTCCCAAAGTTTTCGGATTACAGGCGTGAGCCACTGTGCCGGTCTATCTTATATCTTTTAATGTAAAGATTTTTTTTACCTTCTTGGTTAAATTTGCTCTCAGAAATTTATTATTTTAATGCTATTGTAAATAAGATTGTTTTCTTAATTGTATCAGATAACATTTTAAAATGATGACTACATCTTTGTTTTCTACCAGCATCAACAGAGGTTTCATTTTCATTGCATCATCAACAGATTTGGCGTCTTTAAATAATTTATAGTGGCCATTGTAATGGATGTGAGGTGATTTCGTTTTTCATTTTTATTTTTATGCGTTTCTCTACAAATTATTATTATTATTATTATTTTATTTATTTATTTATTTATTTTTGAGACGGAGTCTCGCTGTGCTGCCAGGCTGGAGTGCAGTGGCGTGATCTCGGCTCACTGCAAGCTCCGCCTCCCGGGTTCACGCCATTCTCCCGCCTCAGCCTCCCAAGTAGCTGAGACTACAGGCGCCTGCCACCACGCCCAGTTAGTTTTTTTTTTTTGTATTTTTAGTAGAGACGGGGTTTCACCATGTTAGCCAGGATAGTCTCGATCTCCTGACCTCGTGATCCACCTGCCTCGGCCTCCCAAAGTGCTGGGATTACAGGCTTGAGCCACCGCGCCCGGCCTCTCTACAAATTATTAATTTGTAATTTGGTCAGGCTGGTCTTGAACTTGTAACCTCAGGTGATCCACCCACCTCGGCCTCCAAAGTGCTGGGATTACAGGTGTGAACCACTGCGCCTGGCCTGAATATTAACTCTTATCACATGTGACTTGCAAATATTTTCACCCATTTCTTATGAGGCATTTTCACACAATTGAATTTTTTTTTTCTAATGTGGAGAAATTTTGAAGTAGAGTGTAGTTAAATTTTTCTGTTTTTTGTTATTGTTCATGCATTTAATGTTGTAGCTAAGAAAATGATGCCAAGACCCATGTCATGACTTTTTTCTATTTTGTTCTAAGAGATTTGTTTTTTTATGTGTGTAAGTATTTTATTGAAAACTTTTTTTATATATGGTTCAAGGAAATGATCCAACTTTATTTTATCAGTGTTGATATTTAGTTCTTACCATTATTTTTTGAAAAAATTACCTTTTCTCTATTGTATGTTCATGGCAGCTTTGTGGAAGTTCATCTAATCATGTACTCAAGGGTTCATTTCTGAACTCTATTCTGCTCTTTCATCTATTTATCTGTCTTTGTATTAGTACCATACTGTTATTGTTATTGTAGCTTTTAATGTTTTAAAATCAGGAAGTATAATGCCTCTGTTCTTTTCATGGGTGTTTGGTTAGTTATAGTTCACAATCAAATATTTTAAAGAATATTTCTGTAATAACTGTGCTATTGAGATTTTTATAGAGATTGTACTGAATTTGTTCACCTCTGTAGGTTATATTGGTATCTCAACAAAATTAAAATGTTTGACCCTTAGCAGGAATATGTTGAAGAATGTATTTTAATTTAATTTAATTTTATTTATTAGAGACAGAGTCTTCCTATGTTGCCTAGGATAGTTTCTAACTCATGGGCTCAAGCAGTTCTCTTGCCTCAGCCTCCCAAAATGGTAGTATTACAGGTGTGAGCCATTGCACTCAGCTCATCTGTTTTATATTTAGATATTGTTGGATTTGCCAATTTTACTTTTGCTTTTAATTCCTAGTTTTATTTCGTTCTGGTCAGTTACCATGCAGTGCATGATTTTAGTCTTCTTAAATTTATTTGTTTGTTGTCGTTTTCAGACAGGATCATTCTCTGTCACCCAGGCTGGAGTATAGTGTCATAATTTTGGCTCACTGTAACCTCAGCCTCCTTGACTCAAGTGATCTTTACACCTCAGCCTCCTGAGTAGCTGAGACTATGGGCATGCACTACCATGCCTGGCCAACTTTTTGATTATTTGTAGGGACGGGGTCTCACTATGTTACTGACACTTGTCTTATACTTGTGGTCCTAAGGGATCCTCTCACTTTCATCTTCCAAATTGTTGAAATTATACATATCAGCCACTACACCCAGCTGGTATTCTTTAATAAGACTTGTTGTGTGTTCTAACAGAATACATCAGGTATAAATAAGAATATTGTTTATTATTTTGCTTTTAACTGAAAAGTTTTGTACATGTGTGTTAAGCCTAGTTTGTCTGTGGTATGATTTGGATGTCCATGTTCTGCAAACCTCATGCTGCAATGTAATCCTCCATGTTGGATGTGGAACTAGGTAGGGAGGTTTTTTAGTCATGGGGGCAAATTTCTCATAAATGCCTTGGCACCAGCCTTTTGATAATCAGAAAGTTTACACTTCATTAATTCAAATGAGAGCAGTTCATTAAAAGAAGCTGGCTTTTTTTATTTTTTCGAGATGGAGTTTCACTCTGTAGTCTAGGCTGGAGTGCAATGGCACCATCATGGCTCACTGCAACCTCCACCTCCCTGGTTCAAGGGATTCCCTTGCCTCAGCCTCCCAAATAGCTGGGATTACAGGCACCCACCACCATGCCCAGCTAATTTTTGTAGTTTTTTAGTAGAGATGGGATTTCACCATGTTGGTCAGGCTGGTCTCGAACTCCTGACCTCATTGACCTCCCAAAGTGCTTGGATTACAGGTGTGAGTCTCTGTGCCTGGCCTGAACCTGGCTTTTTCACCTCACACTTGCTCTTTTTCTTACCACATCCAGTTTCCATTCTTTGCATATGGCTAGTCAGTTCTCCCAGAACCATTTATTAAATAGGGAGTTCTTTCCTTATGGCTTGTTTTTGTCAGATTTTTCAAAGATCAGGTGGTTGTAGATATACAGTCTTATTTCGGAGTTCTTTATTCTGTTTCATAGGTCTATGTGTCTGTTTTTATGCCAGTGCCAGGCTGTTTTGGTAACTACAACCTTGTAGCATAGTTTGAAGTTGGATAGCATGATGAATCCAGCTTTGTTCTTTTTGCTTAAGATTGTTTTGGCTATATGGGGCCTTTTTGGGTTCCATATTAATTTTAAAATAGTTTTCTCATTCTCCATCAATTATTATTATTATTATTATTATTATTATTATTTGACAGAGTGTCACTCTGACGCCCAGGCTGGAGTGCAGTGGCGCAATCTCGGCTCATTGCAACCTCCACCTCCTGGGTTCAAGCAGTTCTCCTGACTCAGTTTCCTGAGTAGCTGGGATCACAGTCATGCACCACCACACCCAGCTAATTTTTGTATTTTTAGTAGAGATGGGGTTTCACCATGCTGGCCAGGCTGGTCTTGAACTCCTAACCTCAACTGATCTGCCCGCCTCAGCCTCTCAAAGTGCTGGGATTACAGGTGAGAGCCACCATGCCCAGCCTGCATCAATGTTTATCAGGGATATTGGTTTTAAGTTTTTGTTGTTGTTTTTATATCTCTGCCAAGTTGGGTATCAGAATGATGCTGATCTTATAAAATGAGTTAGGGAGGAGTTCCTCCTTTTCTTTCATTTAAAATGGTTTCAGAAGAGATGGTACCAGCTCTTCTTTGTACCTCTGGTAGAATCCAGCTGTAAATCCATCTGGTCCTGGGCTTTTTTTGGTTGGTAGCCTATTTATTACTATCTGAATTTCAGAACTTGTTGTTGGTCTATTCAGTGATTCAACTTCTTTCTGGTTCAGTCTTGGGAGGGTATATGTGTCCAGTAATTTATCCATTTCTTCTAGATTTTCCAGTTTATGTATATAGAGGTGCTGATAGTATTTTCTGATGACTGTATTTCTTTTTTCTTCTTCTTCTTCTTTTTTTTTTTTTCTTGAGATGAAGTCTTGCTCTTGTCCCCCAACCTGGAGTGTGATGGTGCAATCTCGGCTCACTGCAACCTCCGCCTCCTGGGTTCAAGTGTTTCTCCTGCCTCGGCCCCGAGTAGCTGGGATTATAAGCGCCAGACACCATGCCTGTCTAAT